TGTTTTGTTTGATTTCTTAAAAGTATCTAGCACTTATGTTCATAAATAAAATCTTTAAAACATAAGCCATAAGCCAAAACCAAGCAAAGAACATTCTTCCTAAGCTAGCAAGTAACGCTACCTAAGGAGATCTTATGATCCGTTCACCCCAACTGCTAAGACAAACCTCAGTTCCTTCCAGTGAGAAATTTTCACTGAGCAGGCGTGCAGCCACCGCTGTAACTCATACAGCAATCACAACTTTGCATGTCATTTAAGTAACTGCAATGATAGGAAAAAAGTGCACTGACAGATTAGAGGTTCTCCACAATCTGTTGTGCCATTTCCTCCTCAGGTTAACGCTGAACACAATAAACTTTTCCAAAAAGAATTTACTTAGCAAATAGACATACTTGATCCTTGTTCAGGATCTACTGGCTTTGATTGGCAGAAAAGCTTCTACTACTTAAAATGTAGTAATAACCCCACTTTGTAGAGCCAAACCACAAGACCAAACTAAAAACATTGATTCAGCCCTCTGTATACTAGAAGGAAAAGCACGAGAACACAAACAAATAAATTCTTAGTTTGCAGCCATATAGGCTTGACTTGGAATTAGTTAGTAGATGTTAAACTAAGAACGTACTCGACGTGGTTTACTGTAAGAGCTCCCATACTTAGTAAAGAAGTCTACAAAATGAATGACAGAATGGGAGAATTATTTACTGTCTCTTATTATAGAAGAGCTAACTTAACTTGACACCTAGTAATTTTGTTTGATGCAAGTTCAAAAAACTCAGCAAAAAGAGGTATTTTTCCCAACATGGGCTCCAATTACTTTGCGGAACTCACTGCCCAAGGATGTTCTGGATACAAGAGGTTTACAGGGATTCAAAAGAAAAAAAAACCCAACACTATTTTTTAAATGAGAGAAAAAAATGCAAACAGTAGATATTTTTAACTCAAAAAGAAATCAACTCTTATTTTGGGATCCAAAAGAAAAAACAAGGGAAATGCAACCATTTGCCTTTACGCATTTTTATGCTCCTCCCTAGGCATCTGCTACTGACTACTCCTGGAGGCAGGTAACGGACTAGATGCATCTTTGCTCTGACTTAGAAATGCTGTTCTTATGTTAATGGTATCTTGTTTCCGATTCACAAATCTACTTCCACAAAACCAAAACTAATTACTAAAATACAAAATATATGGTTCTATCAAAACGAACAAGACATTGTCTCGGAATAGTCAAGCCCAAGACGTCAGGATCTTCGTGAATGCAAATGCTAATACACAAAGCACATCCAAGAAAGCCCAAAATAAAAAACGAAACAAAAAAACTTCTTCAGAGCTAAGTTGTAGTGAGAAGTCAGTCTGCTTTTTCCAGCTGTATCTGTTACATCTGTCTGGAATCCTGCCTCTCCAAAAGCTGTATACAAGAGCTCTGTCAACAACTGCTGCTGTGTCCAGCACAAAAGGTATTTTTCAAGCCAAGTACCTCAAGAGTCAAATATTAATTTTATTATTTACCTAGCAATATAGCCTAACAATGCTTTCACTTAAGTCTGGGGAAATTCGACAAGCATCAAATGAAACCAATTTAAAAACCATGAACTTTATGAATGGGAGAGTGACAGTCCAAGCATCTTAAAGGTAGTTGTAAAAGACTAACTAAACTGCTTTGATTTGCATGTATTTACCAGGAGACTCTCAAACTTCTTTCATCCCATGCCTCTCTGTGTTATGACATTGACAGGAGAGCTACTTGCTGGACATGAACAAAAAAAATTGCTATTCCCCCCCCAGCCCCCATTTTATTCCTCTAACAAGATGACAGCTAGTTTGTATATACACAAGTACGTATGTGAGTCTGTCAAGAATCAGAAAAACAAAAACACGCTTCCCACTGCTATTACCTCCTGCTCAATAATTTAAACATTTGAATTGTGAGCGAGTCTTCTAGGGAAGCATTAAAAATAGCAACCAGAACAGTCATTTTAATGCACAGTAATTCTGTGTTTCATAGCATTTGTATCTGTAAAAAGAAAGATGCCTTTGTTACAGGTAAAAGTATACTCTAACATTAATAATTTAATTTCCCCAGATGTTAAAAATGTGTGTTTTGCAGGAGACTACATAGGTGTATTTCTGTTTTTCCCTTCCCAAAACAGGAAGTTTGGTAACATTATTAATGCAATTATATTTAAACACTGTGCTGAAATAAAAATAAAAAAAAGGCCAAGGACACTGGAACTACATACAATTACTAATGACAATTAAATAAGACATTTCACGTTTGTAGCACATTGTACTTGGGAGTCATGTGTAAGTCACTATTAATCAGACAAAACAGAGATGGGCCCTCCATTCTTGGTTTCCAAGATCACTTAAAAACAAACAGAAAGAACAGGCCACCCTGATTTTGTTAAACTTCACCTGCCATTAAAATTTGATATGATTCTGTAGTCATAGGCAAAGCATATTACTGGCAACACAGTAGTATTAAACAATAACAAAAACAGATCTGGTGATTACTTGAGCTGGAGGTTAGCAATCATCAATCTTGAACTCGCACCAAAACTAGTTTCTTTCCAATCATGTTTCAACTGTTAATGTTTACATTATACTGAACTAAGTTTGACTCTTAAAATCCAGGAGATCATCTTCAGTGTGACCAGTTAAATCTACAATGAAACTCAGGAACACTGCTACAAACAATATTAGTCATCAGTAATCAACAGTAATGACGTGCTGTAAGGAGATAACGTCTGCTTTGAATTTGCCTGAAGACTCCCATGTTTAAAGAAAAATTAAAAAAAAAAAAAAAGCTTTGCAAATAATGAGACTACTATTTCCCTACACAACTCCAGTAAGACTTTCCTTTTATAAGCATTTTTTTAAAAAGCAACAAAGCAGCATTTGATCTTAATCACCAATCTAACTATGACCCTGTAGATTTTGCCTGCCCTTCGAGATAAAACTCACCCCTATGCCAGTTGACTGAAGAAATCTTAGTTCACCCAGTGTCCACACCGCTCCATTGTTTCGAGCCAGGACTGAAGGTACACCACCTTTTATTTACAAGACTTGATGGACTTGATCACACCTACATTTTGTAACCAGGAGATAACTACTTCAACCAGCTTACAGATCTTGAAACTGAAGGCTACTAGTATGCAGTCTAAGAAACGGTTTAATCACTGAACACACTCAGTTTCAAGCAAGTGCTAGTTTCTGTAACACCACCCACATACACTCGTGAAGAAATTTTAACTGCACAGAAGTTTTCATCATTGTTCAATAAAAAAGTGACACACAAAAAATCCTTCACAATTTTCTTTCCACTTAAAAAGTGACGCTGATAGAAAGAACTAAAATAGATTACAAGTCAATAATTACATGGACAGCATGAAGAAGCAGTACTTTTTTTTCCCTTCCTGAAGTCTTAAGCGTTTAACAGAATGCTACTGACTAAATTACTCGAACTAATTCTAGACTGTTTGCAATCAACATACATAACGCACAATGACTTGCTTGCAATTAGTGTATTATACTAAACTCTGTTTACAAAGAAAAAAATTACTTTATATATAATTTCATAAATGCATTAGATTAAAATACAGATTAGCCACATGCCAAATTATTGTTAATATTAAAAAAGGAGAAAGCAAATATAGAAGTTACAGTTAAAGGTCAAACAAGTCCTCCAACTGTATTCATGATTATACAACTCTATGCATACTGGCACTGTTAAACCCTTTCAGAATGAGCATTTCCTAGAAAGCAGAAAGGTAAGACAATTTTGATTTTCACAGAGGAACCAGGTCGGGAAACTAAGATGTCAAAGCTGAAAATATACACCATCAATGTCCTAAGCATAGTTTAAAAACTTGTACGGCATCAAGACTGTGTCGCTAATGGCATGTGTTTTATAAAGGTGAAACACTCGTACCCTTTTAGGTATTTCTTAGTCAAGACAGCTAAAATACACTAAACCAAAACACTTTCACTTTTCCTACATGCAAGTCCTCAAAACATAGGTTACTTATTTACAGTTCAAGGTATCCTTAAGCATAGTAGGTAGGCCTCACATACTCCCCTAGAAAATTATTTTGCAGACAGTTAATGTTTGGTAATGGTAAAGGAATGTGTTACCATTTAAAAACTCTTAATACGTTTGCTGTCATGTAAGGAAACTCATTTTAAAACACTAAGACTAGCAGAGCTATTTCACGTGGATGATTCAGTTTACCCATAAAAATAAACGTTACGATTAGGCAAAGAGGCAGAAACTACCACAAAATCACACGCGGAAAACAATCCCCCTACATTCTGCAGAAGCACCGAGGGTGTTACAAGATTTACTCAGCACTGATCTTGAATTCAGAAATCCCAGATATGTGGATAACCACTTGACTGGTTTCCTTTGAAGCACATAAACAGTACTCAAGGATGTATCCAATTCTATTTGTTAATTACAATACCTCCAAGCACTGCTGCAGACTGATTTGTTCCCAAACTCACAACAGCTACTGCTACGTGCAAGACACGGCACAGGAGAAGGGTGACCATTTGTCAACCGCCGGCCTCGGCGTTGCCGGGGTCTCACGCTTCCCACCTGTGTACCACCGGCTGCCGAAGGGACCGGAGTGGGAGGTGGACGTGCCGGCGGGACACATCCGAGGGCAGCAGGAGGAGGGCGCCGGTGCCCGGGTGGTGCCGGGCGGCGGGCAGAAGGGCTGCCGGGGAAGGAGGCCTAGGGCACCGCTCGCGTGTGTCGCCAGGACGGGGTCGGCTCCCCGCCTGTCACGCACCATGTGCCAGCCAAACGGCGACGGGGACGACCGGCGCGGACGAGCAGCGGCACCACCCCCGCCGCGGCAGCCAGTTCTCCCCCGGAGCGCGGGGCAGCCCGGCGCGGCGAGGC